GATTGGCCATCGGTGATCGGTCCTGTGGGAACAATGCTCCGTCCTCTCGAGGACGCGTGGTCAATGGTCTAACCGCTAAGACATGCAAAACATAAGAGTACGCCCCCCCCCCCCTAACATCCACATTGCGGTCTGTGTGGCAGCCCCCACGCCCTTCCCGCTTGGGTCGGAGAGCTTACCGCCAGGACGTTCCGGGCCTGCGCCACGAACAGAGGCCTGGAAGGGGGACAAGCCTCGTACACTGTCAGGAGCCACCCGCTTCCGCTTACCGCGACGGAGGTGAATACCAGATCAGCAAGTATTTCCTCTGACTTGTTTTGTTTCTTTCTTTTGGTCCCATGTTGTCTGGGCGCCAGTCTACTGGGCCTTTCGGTGTGAATTTGACGCACCGGGCCCGGAGTGAGTCTGTTGTGCCGCGCAGGTCCTCTCTAGCAGGAAAAATGTGGATTCGTTCACGTCCATCGAGAAAACGCTCACGCCGAGTTATCAAGGAATGGAAAATCTTTTAAGCGCCCATATTGATGAGTTTTTTTTTGTTTCTAAAAGAAATACAGAGAACAACTCAACGCTCGTACATGCCAGTGACGACGACAATATGGGCGTTTTTGTCGCGGTCTCGATTCGCCTTGTCCTGCTGTACACCAATTTTGGGCCGCTAGCGGTGTTGTTATGCACAACTGCAGGATAGGAAACTTAAATTATTTTTACCTCTGTGTCTGTCTGTCTCTTACCATATTTTAACAGAGGTTCTCCAGGTATAGCTCGATGGGGTACAAACAATGCTGTTGACTGCGGACATTCATCTCGACATCAACCCCCGTCTTCGGCATGGCGACCTGAACGTGATTCAATTTCATGTCATGATGGAAAACATTATGTCATGTTCTTATATTATTTGCGCTTCCTCGTTCCGTCCAATCACCGAAGAGGTGCAGAGGGTTCTCACCAACTACCTCCATCTGCTTTGGCCCGGTATCCTGACGCCGCTCTGTCTCTCTCTCCACCTTTTTTGTCCCGGCCCGTTGCAGTCGCTGGAGGTACAGACGATGCTCTCGCTTTTGGTGAGCCTCCTGGTGACGATCCCGCTGTGCTACGCCCCCGCCGCCTTCGTCACCTTCCTCGTCAGGGAGAGGGCCTGCAAGAGCAAGCGGGTATGTGTTCCTGTCTCCGCCTGACCAATGCTCATGTTGTTTGTGGTTGTGTTGAATGTGGGGATTCAGATGGAAGTGTACCTGATTTGGACTGGTTCCCTGCTTGCTTTTCTTCTGAGGCAGCCAATGTCCAGCTCTTCTTGTGCTGGTTGTTGAATGCGGGGACTTGGATGGAAGTTTCTGATTTGGACTGGTTACCTGCCTGATTTTCTTCCGTAGTAGGCCCATACCGACTGCCATTGCCTGATGTTGCTTGAACGTGGGCACTTCGTTGTCACCGTACTTGTTAACGTCATCCCAACATCAACAGCAACAATGTGACATGTATACTGTAGGTGCAGCTCGTTTCGGGGGCGAGCCCTTTGGCGTACTGGGCGTCGACCTATCTGTGGGACGCGCTTCTGTTCTTCGTGCTGACCGTGTTGGTGATGCTCACCTTCGCCGCTTACGGCAAAGACGCCTCCAAGGTATATTATCCAGTATCGCTATTTGTTCCGTGTCATGCCGGTGCGGATAGAGACTGGCGATAAGAATGTGGATGTGTTCATACAGGGCATGACCCACCTGCTGCGTATTTATGTGCTTTCAGTAGGGATGTATTTGATGTCTTGTTCAGTGATCTCATCATTCATCGAAGGTCTTACCTGTCTCGTCTGAATAGCTTCGATCATCATGGATCGCAGGCATGGCTTTTCTTTTGTCGCCATGAGTCTTCCGCAGTCCTTTCCCCCTCAAATTGCACTAACGCACTCTTCTATAGGCCCAGACCCTCACTTCCCCGACAAGCTTCGGACAAACGCCCCGTATGGCGTTCGTCAGCGCCACGTGCGCATGTCACCGAGACTTCCCCTCCCCCCTCCGTCCTCTCCAGGACGCGTGGTCAATGGCCGAACCGCGAAGTCATATGCAAAACATGAGCACGCCCCTCCCCTTTCCGCGCTCTGGTGCTCACAATCCCAGGTGTTCATGATGCGCTGGGACGCCCTCCTCGGCACATGGGGGCTCCTGGTATCGTACGGCCTCTCCTCCCTGCCGCTGTCCTACCTCTACTCGTTCGCGTTCGACGGGCCCTCGGCGGCGCAGATCTCAATCGCCGGGGTTAACTTTCTGTCCGGCTTTGGCTTCGTGGTGGCTTACGCGGTGCTGGTGAGGAGGTTACGGATTGTCAGGCGTTTTTGGCTCAACCGTTGAACGACTCTCCGAATGACTCGATCGCTAACCTCCTCTATCGTTTAGTATTTTGACCGCACTTTTTGTTGTTGTTCTTGTGTGGCATAATTGTTTGACCGTTTTTTCTCTGTCCCCGCGTTTTTGTTTTTTTCCGGGCTGCCGCAGTCGACCCTGAAGAGAACCGTCAAGTTCGCGGCGAAGGCGCAGCATATCTTCCGACTCTTCCCGCCGTACCTCCTTGGGGACGGTCTAATCCGGGTACGAGCACCCTCCCGCTCGCCACGCAGTTCGATGATTCCATCAAATTTAGCCGCATTGTATTGGTCGTCTCTTGTGGTTCTCCTCGAGGGTGTACCCCCTGGCTTTTGGCTGCGCCCCCCTCAACCCCCCCCCGTTGGTAGTTTTGTTTTAGAGGTGGCGGGGACATGACCCCATTACTTTTAAGGTGAGGAGTGTTCTGAGATACGTCAATGTCTGCAAGCGGTTAGAGAACAACCACCCCCCACTCCCCTGGGGCTTCCAGGGTTTCCATAGCGTGTGCGCTTCGTCTGGAGATCTTGGCCAGCGTGTTTCATGCTGCCTCCCGAGCGCTTTCTGCAGTCGAGCTCGTTCGCCGCACGACTTACCTATCACGGCGTGCTGACGCCGGAGAGACTCGGCCAGACAGCGGCATCATCGCTTTGTAACCTACCTAAATAGCTCTCCATGCGGGAATGGCCTCTACAGTTCACCTACCTTCCTCACGTGTGACCCCGGCTGATGCGTTACACCGAAAACCGTGTGTAGACTGGCGCCACAATAAATAGGGAGGAACATACACATTTGCATATTCCCCAACGCCAGTTGAGGACGATTCCCTCTTGCGTGGAAGGCGAGATGTCTGGCGTCTTTTTCTTCCACGAAGCGATTTTTTACAACGCAGAAGAAGAAGAATCATGTCTGATTGCGATGCGGCTTGATCGAGGCACACCTCGCGGAATCGATGTATACGCTGCTATGCACTTGCTTTGCGCGCAGGTGTCGTCTGAGTTCTACGTGCGAGAAGTGATGGGTATGGATCGTGAGGGGGGTGTCCTCGCGTGGGACGTGGCGGGAAGAGGGATTTGCTACATGTGCTTGGAGGCGTTGGCCTACCTGGGCTTGGTGAGTTATGTGTTCCAAGAATATCTATTTTTCTGTCTCCGTTCTCTTAGCATCACTCTCGGTCACGACTTTTTAGGAAGCACGTGCTTGTGATTCTTCCTGCTGCTGCTGCTGCTGCTGCTGCTGCTGCTGCTTGCTGCTTGCATCACCGCTGCTTGCCCTAGTACTGAAAACCTGCGGTGAACCATAGGTCGAGATTTTGAGGGTCGGGAACTTCCCTCTCGCGGTAATACTGAAACTGAGAGCAGCGAATGGGAACGGACACCTTGACGAAATGTCCCTCTTGGATACATATTCAAGTCACCCGCCAAAAGGCGTAGGTGTCTGCCAAGTTTGCGACCACCCCTTTGCGGCGGCCCAGTCATTGTTCGCCACGACTGCCCCCCGCTTTGGCACAGTAGGAAGGAATGATTGGCCATCGGTGATCGATCCTGTTCGAACAGCAGTGCTCCTCTCGAGGACGCGTGGTCAAAGTATCCTCCTCCCCCCCCCCGGTGTTTGCCATCGGGGTTGGGTTTTCGTCGCTTGGCAACGACGTTGTAAAACAAGCCGCCCCCCCCGGTGTTTGCCATCGAGATTGGGTTTCGTCGCTTGGCAACGACGTTGTAAAACAAGCCAATTCACTTCGTGAACTCGGCAACCAGGTTACCGTTTTTTTTTTTAACCTCCGTTATTTTTTTTTTGGCGGTAACCATAATGGTGGTCGAGTAGATCATGTTGTGCGGGGT